GGTTCTGAGCCCCGGGACTCGCAGCCCTGGACCCTTCGCGTAGACTGCTAGACCCCTCCTCCCCCGGGACCCCGCCGTCCACCCTCCAAGCTCTGTCCCACTCTGGCTCCTTATGGGCTTGGATCGTTCCCCCTGCTCCCTATCCTCACCCCCCACATCGGAAGGAGCTGTCATCCCAGGCACACGCATCACTCGACGTCTTCACATCTGCTGCCAGACACCCCAGCAATCCCTCACAGACACACACGGATAGAGTTCCTCCTAACACATCAGGACGCAGCAAACACCACCTCATGTGGCTTCGAGATCCCCAGACGCTGGAGACGCAACATGAGTCGGCTCTCTGCTCTCCCCCTGGGGAGCTCCAGGCCTAGTGGGGAAGACAGGAGTCCACACGCTTGACAGAGCTGTAGAGTCAGGACGCTTGGGGGCAGGGAGTGAGGCAGGTAGGCTGGGAGTAGGGCTGTTGGCAAACGTGCAGAGCCATGAACATCACAGCATGTCCGAGGAATTAAAGAGGAGTTCATTTGGGCTGGGGTGGAGGCCAGGGTGAGATCGTGGCAGGTCTCCAGGCGAAGTAGCTTGCTGGGAAAAGGGGAGATGTGAACTTTCTGTGGAGGGAAGTTTCATGATTGTGCCTATGATGAATGTATTGCCAGATTTTTGTTTTGTTTGAGTCGGAGTCTCTGTCACCCAGGCTAGAGTTCAGTGGCCTCCACCTGCTGAGCTCAGGCCACCCCTTCCATCTCAGCCTTCCAAGTAGTTGGAACTACAGGTGCATGCCACCACACCCAGCTAATATTTTATTTACTGTAGCGACGAGGTCTCACCATATTGCCCAGGCTGGTCTTGAACCCCTGGGCCCAGGCAATCCAATTGCCTCCACCTCCCAAAGTACTGGGATTACAGGCGTGAGCCCCCGCTTTTGGCCCATTTTGTTAATACTGACCATGCCCATACCCCAAACACCCCATCCTTCTCACCACCAGCTTCCTGGGTTCCCTGTTAACTATGACAACAGCTGAGCTGAACCTGGGTTGGGCTCCTGTTTGGGGGACAGGTGAGTTCTCTTTGGGACCTCCAGCCCTAGGAAGTTGCCTCCATGTGGAAATGCCTTTCTGATACCAGGAGCTCTGTAGCTGTGCCTGTCACCATCTCAGGCTTTGTCTCTTCCTTCATCTGGGGGAGATGACAGTGCTCCTCTCTGGGGCCTGATCCACCTAGCCCCATATGTGCCTGCCTTCAGGTGGTTCAGCAGTCTCCCCTTCCAGTCTCTTCCCAGTCACCAACAGAAATGCTAATATCCCTGCTCAGAGTAGCCTACTAAGTTTCCCCTGCAGATGGGGGATCCATTGGTTCTGCTGCAGAGACTAATAAAGGTGTGGTTGGCTCTAGCCCTGGCTCTGACTTGCTTTGTTCCCCTAGGAGGCCTTGTCTCCGTGGGACATTTCCATGACCCAGCATCACGAGTGTCTTCTCTGGTGTAGTGAGAAGAGTGGATTCTGAGATCAGATGGACAGCATGTTAGCTGAGCAGTTTGGGGCAAGTCACTTAGCCTTTCTGGATCTTGCTTTCCCTGCACATAAGGTGGCAGGTTGAAGTTGACTCTCCCTGAGGGCTGGAGGAGAGGGGCTGTCAGGCTTTCTGTTGTCTGAGCTGATAGATGATCCAGGCCAGGCCCTGCTCGTTTTCTGAGAGTCCTGTGGTGTTGAGGTCTTTTCCAGTAGGTTGTCATCCTTCTAGAGTTGGATCTCTTACTGTAGAGACCCGGTGGCCAGGGAAGAAAACACAACCATTCTGCATCAGGCCTCTTGAGGCTGCGAGTGGCAGAAACCCCCTACTCAAACGGATTTAGGCCAAAGAGAAGACACTAAGTCAGATAACTTGAAAGGTCCAAGAACTGTGTGGTCCAGGGGCTCAAATAGAGTCACTGAGATTTTGTTTCTATCTTTACAGTCACTGGGCTGACTCATTTGGAGGCTGTGGTGATGTTTAGCAGCTCCGGATTAATGCCCTCCGGAACTCAAGTAGCCAAGAGAGTTTCTCTTCCTCCAGTGGTATGAATAAAAGTGCTGATGGACAGCAGCCTAAATTGGGTCTTGTGGCCATCCCTGAAGCAATCTCAGTGATCTGGAAAAGGAGTCTAAAACAACAGGGCTTACAGCAGGTGTGATGTGGCATCCCAAAGGAAATTTAGGGCACTGTTCCCGGGAGTGGAATGAATACATGAGAGCCAGGTGGCAAAAATGTCAGGTGTCTACCTCAAAAATGTCAGGTGTCTATGTGGACACTGAATTAGAGGGCGCAAACAAATAGCAATGACTCAGCAAGGTAAGAGAGGAACATGGTGCAGTAGGCGCTCTGAAAAGGAGATATCCTTCTCTACCAAGGGAACTGGGGAAAGCTTTGGGACAGGAAGTGGAAATTTAGTCTGAGCCTTGAAGGATGGTAGGAGTTTGCCAATCCAAGAAAGGTGGAAGAGCTTTCCACATAGAACGATTAGGTGGAAGAAATGGCATGAGCAAATGCCTGAGAGGCTTGAGAGCATCAAGAAGTTGAGGAACCAGTTTCATGTAACAGCAGGCTGCATGGTGAGGAGAGCTAGCTGGTGGATGAGGCCAGGTTATAGAGGACCTCGTGGGCCAGGCAGGGAATGCCAATAAGTGGCAGCAGCATAAGCACAAGCATGGGTGCAAGAAAGAGCCTCTTGAGAAGCTCAAGGTCTGTCAGCATTTGTGTAGTTGGAGGTCGCATACCTTGAGTGTCCCAAGGCCTGTACTGTGTTCTGAAGACTCAGCAGTGAATCAGACCCAGTCCGTGGCTTGGATGGAACCTCAGCCTTAATCTTTTTCTTTCTTTTTTAAAGACAAGGTGTTGCTTTGCTGCCCAGGCTAGAGTGCAGTGGTGTGATCATAGCATGCCTCAAACTCCTGTGCTCAAGTGATCCTCCCACCTCAGCCCCGGAGTAGCTGGACTACAGACATGCACCACCACACACAGCTAATTTTTAAATTTTTTTAGAGATGTTGCCCAGACTAGTCTTGAACTCCTGGGCTCAGTGATTCTCTCACCTCAGCCTCTGGGGTCACTGGGATTATAGGTGTGAGCCCGCATGCCAGGCCTTTTTTTTTTTAAGCTGAGTCAAGTGCAGTAGTGAGAAGGGCAAAGAGTAGAACAAGGAGTTTGATCTGTAACTGACTGTGAAAAATCGAGATAACTCATCACCTTCGGATCAGCCTCAACCTTAATTTTTTAACAGGTGCCCAGTTATTCTCTCAGTCTTTCAGTGGCGTCCTCATTAAGCCATCTCATTAGAGGGTGCCCTGCATGGCCCAACAGAGACATCTCTGAGTTTGGCTCTGGGAATGACCTTTCCTCTTACCCTCTGAAGTTCAGTCTCAGGGCTTTTAGAGAGTCAGTACACAGGAAGAGCCCATCCCATCCTGAGTCCTTACCATGAATATGGGTTAAACAAATATGGCTGGACACGGGTGGGCTTTGAGATCAGACAGCCAGAACACTCACATTCACTGCCCAGAGCTTCCCTGCTTTATGTTTCTCATAAGTACTCACAACCCCATGCATCAAGTGTCACTATCCTTATTTTACCTACAGAGAAAAAGATGCAGAGAAAGAAATTGTTCAAGGTCATGCATGCTGTCAGAATGTGGATTCAAATGCAGGCCACTTGACCTTGTCCACCACACTACACTGCTTCTGCACCATACATCCTGTGTGGCTCATCACCTGGCAGGAAAATAATTCCCAGAGAAGAGAACAGGACCGTCTAAGCAATCAGCTGTACAGCGCACACATCTCTTTTCCTGTAGCAAATCCTGCTCTGTGGGCAGACAGGGTTGGGTACTGGGGGACTGATGAGACTTAGTTCTTATACTCAAGGAGTTCTGTGATGCTTATGTGTCTATCCCATATGTAGACAGAGATGATGACAAAACGGTGTTATGAGGGCTATGTCAAATGGTAGCCCTGAGGCTGTAGGGACACAGGGAAAGGAGGAGCCCTTAACCTAGGTGTAGGAGGAAGTGTCTTAAGCTGGCTTAAAAGATAAATGCTCCTCCACCTGTGGTCTTGTGGGGCTTGCTGACTTAGGTGAAGAGGAAACAAGAGGTAAATTCAGTCAATGCTGGGAGTTCTCTGGGTAAGGCTAGATCTGTGACTGGGTAGAAGGGTCAGACCACCAGGGGTTCTGAGTGTCAAGGAAGGAGCCTGAACTACATATTCCCAGGCCACAGCCAGCCTCCAAAAGATTTGAAGCAAAGGAAGGATATGGTCAGACTTGGAAAGTTAGAAATATCACATAAACAAACATTAATCCTCATGGACAACATAGTTTAAACTCAGACAAAACCATCTCTGCAAAGTGTCTGGGCAGCCCAGGTACTGCCTGGTTGCTCACAGGTTACTGTGGGTGCTCCACTCCTGATCCAT